CCCCGCGCACTGGTAATGCCCACACGGAGCTCGGGAGGGGCGGGCGGGCAGGCGTGCGGGTGCCGCCCTCTGCCAGCTTCACGGAGCCCCGCTGGGAGGCGCGGGCGCGCAAAGCTCGGATCCTCCCAGGAGGACGCGGCCGGGCGGCGGCGCGCCCAGCGGGAGCAGCCGGAGCAGGTGCACCGGGAGAGGACCGGCCGGCTGCGGGCCCTCAGGGCCAGGTGAGGGGCGGGCAGGGAGGTTTGTGGGAGGGGTGTGTGTGTGGAAGGGGGTCCTTTTCCCCTGGCATCTGGATGACAGGCCACTCTCTCCTCAGAAACACCCAGAACTTCCAGGAGCTACTGTCGTCCCCTGGCGCCGAGGAGCCTGTGCCTGGAGAGTAGCGGTCTCCCTTCCCAGCCCCTCTGGTCATTGCTGGGTACTCAAAGGGATGATTAACGAGATGGGAGTTAAGGAAAAAGCAAGAGGCAACCTGCAAGTCAGAGGTAGTTTCGGAAAGGCCCAGAATGCAGCCTTAGGGCGCGGGAGAGCAGAGACACAGACACACACAGCAGCTTTGCCCCACCAGGAGGCCTGTTATTTCTTCTTCCCTCTCCTAAGAACGTCGCCTGGCCCACAGTCAGAGGGCCAGGTCCCGGGGGTCCAGCAGCGCGAAGGCCCCGTTCTTGCGGAAGAATGACTCAATGCGGCACATCTTGCAGACCAGTTCTTGCTTCACTGCGGGGCCTGGGAAGAGATGTCAGAGGCCAGGAGTGGGTTTCTGGAGAAGGAACTCAGAGCATGGGAGCTCTGTCTGCAGAGCCCTAGGAATCTGCCCGTGTTGTATCCACTTTGTAAGTGTGAAGAAATAAAAAATGCTTCTGAGGAGTGGGGGCTCTGGGAAAATGCAGGAGCTGGCTGGACAGTCACCCATCTGCCATCATTACCCCCAACTTCAGGATCCTCCACCTGGGGGGTGGAGGGTGTCCAGCCTTGCTTGTCCCAGGGACAGACTGTGGAGAGATGTAGCTTCCTTCTACCTCCTGCTGCCTTCTGGGGCTCACCTTCTGCTTTGGTTGGAAAGTGCTCTCCTTACTTCCCCCTTAGAGCCCTGGGGAAAGTGGGGGAAATTTGGGGGCAAAATCTCAACTGTGTTGATCCCCAGCCATCCACCCTTTCTGCACAGGCACTCAAGCCGCTAGAGAAAGACACGTGACTGAGTGGTCTCACTTAAAATTCATGAGCACAGATAGCAAAGGGACACTTGCTGGGCTCTACTCTTCATCTCTAGCTACTCCGTGGCCTAGGCTCCTCCCCCTCCCAACTGATGGCCTTGACTCGGCCTCACAGAAGAAACAATCAGTCCAGATGGACAGCTTTCCCGACAACACTGTCCCCTACCTTCTCTGGACCCCCACTCCTGTCTCCCCTCCTGTCAGATTCCAACAAGCTGAGCTCCCCAGGTGATCCTGCCCAGTCTCATGGCTTTAAGTAGTACCTATATTCTAATGACCCTGGAATTTGCATCTTCAGCTCTGACCTCACTCTTGAGGGCCAGACTTACATACACAGCTGTCTCGCTGACACCTCAAGCATAGCGTCATAGCGTGGGCATCATGGACTTGTCCTCACAGACCCTCCAGCCCTGTCCACTCGGCTCAGCCAGACACCTGGAAGTTACCATTGACTTCTCTGCCCCTTACTCTCCCATTCAACCCTTCAGTGAGTTCCACTGTCTTCCTCCAAAACATCCTGAATTGATTTCAGCTCTACTGCTAACCCCCCTAGGCCATGCTACTGCGATCTCTTGCCAGGATAACTCAAAATAGATGCCTAGCTCACCTGCCAGATTCTACTGTTTTCCCTGAAAAAGCCATTACCTACAGAACAGTTAGGGGGATTTTTTTTTTTAAGTTAATCACTATTGCTTACCTGTTTAAAACCTTCCTTTGGCTTCCCCTCCCTCTAGAATAAAATCCAACCCCCTCCTTGTCATTTAGCTCTCAGATTTCAGGTCCTCAGAAAGGCCTTTCCTGACAATCCAAAGAAGCACATGCCCCTTGCCTCCTGGCCCACTGTCACTTCCTAGTTTCATGGAATTTGTCCCTCTCAGACATTTTCTTGCTTTCATGTTTCTGGTCTGGACCCTCCCAGAATGTCTGTTCCCTGGCACATGGCAGGTGCTCTTTGTTTGTGAGGTGACTCATTTCTGGGAGGTTGGGGCTCACCCAGCTGCCAGCCATATGTGAAGTTGGTGGTGATGGGGAAGAGGTAGCGCGTCTCTGGCATGTCCAGTTTCCGGGTGTTGAGGTAGCGGTAGCGCCCCTGGAAGTCGTGGGAGATGCCTTCATACAGCAAGGCCCGGGTGGCAGGCAGCACCGGGTACATTTCTGACTGAAAAGGAGCCTCTGGGGCAGGGCTGGGGGCCTTGGAAGGGACTACTTTGGGGGCAGGTGGGGGTGAGAGTGGAGCTTTGGGGTGCAGGGTAGGCAGCTGGAGGGGCAGGCGGGCTGCAGCCTTAGCCATCTGCTTGGCCTTCACCATCGACCCGTATTTGCGGTGCCACTCACAGCGCAACATCTTCTCCCGCAGATATTCCTCCTTCCAGAAATTTTGCCGCACTGTGTCCATGTTGAGCTGCCGCAACATGGTGGCAAGGGAAGGTGTGGTACCAGTGTGGCTGCAGCTGAGGGGTGAGCACAGTAGGCAGAGTCCTTCTGACAGCAGGTGGCTGCCCTGGGACATCACCTGGCAACCAAGCCTCACCTCACACAGGGCCAGGGTTCTACTTGCCAGGCCCTCAGCAGACCTCACTTCCTGAGGCAGGGCCCACTGGCTAAGAGCTATGAGCCCCAAACCTCCTGCAGGACCCAGGCTTGACCTAGTATCACAGGCTTCCACGTTTCGTGTGCTTTCTGCTTCTGTCCCTTGGGTCAGGCCCCCTCCCAACCTAATGCAGACTGAGGTGGGGGAGCCAGGGGCTAGGCTCAGGCCTCCTTCCATTCCTCCCTCCCCCTGCCTCTCTGAGCTGCTCTTTTTTGATCTAGAGAACTTGTCCTTGAGTTGTGGCCTCCTGGGACAGTCTGGTCCAACTCTTCTATGCCTTGGTCTTTGGCAGAACCTTTTTCATCCTTGCCAATCTAATCTCCCCCAGCTGCCTCACCCCACATGTGTCCTTTCCAGCACCCAGTCCCCGTTTGGAGAGAAGCAAGAATATTACTTTAATTTAACATCAACAGTGACACCGCGTAACAGTACAGGGAAGAGGTAGTGGAGAGAGAAGGTCAGGCTTCCTGTTCCCTAACCAGCCTTGATTCAACCTAGAAGCACTTCACCTAGCCTCTCAATGGAATTGAAAGGAACAGGCAATTGGAAATCAGAGGCTCAAAATTTAAAGATGGGCTGATGGCAAGCCTGGGGAGAGGCCTGAAATGGGGTGGGGGAGGGAGAATTGAAGGGCTGAAGTGGGGGCAGCCCCCTAGCGCAGGTCTTCAGCAGTGAACATGCCCCTAGCCCTGCGCAGGATGGAGTCCTTGGCAGCATCGTAGGGGTGCTCCTTGGATGGGATCTCCAGGACAGCTGGAATGGAGCGCTGGTGGGCGTCAAGGGCATGCCGCACCATCTCTGCGATGTATTGGTTGATGAGGATGATGCCAATGTCGTCCCGGTTTAGAAACTGCCTGTTGGGAGAAATGAGAAGGGAGTTCAGGGCAGCTCTGAGGGCTGCTGTGTGTTCTGCTGAAGCAGCCCACTCTGAGTTGGTGGAGCTGGGCTGTAGAGGGGAATAAGCATGACCCAGAAAGCACAGACGACAAGGGGAAAGATGCTACACTAACATCTCTCACAATCCTATTCAGAATCAATTTCATTCAAAAGCTAACAGCCATGTTGGTCAGGGCTGGCTTCTAACTGCCCGCTGCTTGGAAGGCTTCCAAGTGAGCCAGTAATGAAGATTAGGGCACATGCCAGTGTATTCAATACACTGCCTTTGGATAAGAAGAGTATATATGTGTATCCCTTTGTATCTGCAAAGAGAAATGCCAGAAAGATAAGGAAGACACTAAGTGGTTACCTACAGGGGTGGAGGTAGGAGATAATGAGGTGGAAGGACATGGGTAGAGTAAAAGTTCTCAGTGTATACCTTTTAAATATTAATTTGCAAAGCACATGCACAAAGGAAAGCAAATTAAATTTTTTAAAAATAGGGCAGATAAGACCTCAAGGTCTATGTTGATGAGGGTGGGAGATGGCTTAGAGGGGAAGTTTGGCATGAGCCAAGAACACAAGACAGAACGAGGAAACTCAGTAATGAAGGAACCACACTTTCCACACAGAACCTGGCACAGCGATCCTCCTGTCTTGTGATCACCCATCTATTCATTCATTCACTTACACATTAAAAACTATTTCCTGAGCACCCACTTCGTGCTAGGGTAGATTAGGTTAGACTTGGTGATCTCTGAAGTCCTTTTGGTTGGGAATATGGAAAATCCTTGAAGTAGGATTTGTCTTTCTTCCATGACAATTTGGGTCACTTTATCAGACTGCTTAGAGATCAGCAGATAGCAGCCTCCCTGGTCAGGGTCTCAGGCAGCAGGAACCTGTCTCAGCCGGCAGCTCTGGGCTGGGCTGTTTAGGGGGAAACAGGTGAGAGTGGCTTATTCCTGAGACTTGGCACCCTAGAGAAAGGGTGAAGGAAAGAATAGGAGGCTGGCATCCTCGATTCTAGTCACCAGGACACCACCTGGATTAAAGGCATGCCTGCACCCACACTATGAAGCTATCACCCCTAACCCGGGCAGGAAGTAAGGACTTGAAGTGCAAGGTCTGAGCAGAAGGCCAGACACAGTCCTGAATTCTGCTGTGCCCAAGACAAAAGGGAATTCGAAGGCAGACTGAGGAGAGCTGCACAAGAACCTGGCTTAAGAGCGGCAGGAGTTGGGGCTAGGTTCAAATCCCAGCTCTGCCTCTTCCGACTGGTGTGACTTTGGTTATGTGCTTTAGCTTCTCTGAGTTTTAGTTTTCTCACCTGTAAGTGGGAATAATAACCCCCTACTTTACAGGCGACCGTGAGCCTCTAAGGGAGATGAAAGTACATGAAAGCCCGAGCCCACTGGGTCGGTGCTTCCTGAGTGTGTAGTTCTTTTAGGGGCAACTCGCAAAAGAGCCGGGCATTTGCAAAGCTCGGAGCCTGCTCTACAGGGAACAAGGAACCCCTAAGAGGCGCTGAGGCTGGCCGTCTCCGGCGCCTGGGCGCTCTGGACGTCCAGCTGTGGCAGGAGTAGGTTGGGCCGAGGGGAGGTGCCTGTCACGAGCTCTGTTCCCTTCTTCCCTGACGCACGGTCATGTGTGGAGGGAGCTCGTGGACCTGACATAGCCCCACTCCCGCCGAACCCCCAAAGGGAACTTGGGGCGCGGAGGCCTCCGCCCCGGAAGGGCGGACAGACTTCCAGGATCCCCCCTCCGCTTCCCTCAGGTCGGGGCCTGACACCCCGGTCCCCGGGCCGCCTCCGCCCTCTCCCGGCGCTCCCACAAAGCAGCTGAAGGGCCCGTTCGGGCCCCCCACGGACTACCGTACCGGAAAGTGTCTTCGATCTCATTGATGGTTGTATCCTTCTCCACCACCAGGAAATTAGGGTGGCGGTTCTTGTTAAGCTCTCCGATGCCGCCAAGCAGGAATCCAGTCACGGTGTCCTCATCTCCGATGACCGCGATTAGCTTCCCCCTCCCCGCCATCCCCGCGGCCAGGTAGAGTTCACCCCTGAGTTCCCAGCCCGGAAGCTCCGCCTCCGCAGCGCGTCTCCCGGACGGCCCCACCCCCACCCCACCCTTCAGACATGCGCAGTTGCCCCACACCGCCTCTCGGGACATGCGCCTTAACAGCAACACGGCCTCAATCTGAATACGCCTGCGCTGTAAAGAGCGCTCCGAACCAGAGGACTACGAGTCCCAGAAGGCTGCGCGGCACTACGGCCTCTCCCTGGCGTTCATTCGTTCATTCATTCCTTCGTTGGCTCATTTATTCAACAAACGTTGTTTTATTTTGTTTTGTTTTTTTTACAGTTGGCCTACAACTTTTTTTTTTTTTTGGCGGCTGGCCGGTACGGGGATCCGGAGCCTTGACCTTGGTGTTATAACACCACACTGACCAACTGATAGCAACAAACGTTTTGAACCTAGCGCTGTTAAACGCCGAGACCCCAGAGAAGAAAAGACACTTTCTGTTCTCAAGGACAAGGTCTGGGTCTGTATCGTGTATGTATGTAACTGTGACACACAGCTAACAATTATTCAGTACATATTTGTCCTGTTAATAAAGGCATGAACAAGTTAATGATGATACTGGCTAGTGAGGTAGAGAGTCAGGGAACAGGCAATTACGGTATGGTGTGTTAATTTCTAAAATGTGACAATATGGAAGCCACATCCGTGGTAACTAACCCATGGGGAGAGGGGGCCCTCAAGGAACACTTCCCCAAGAATGTTGTACTGCATCTAAGCTGAGACCTGAAGGGGATAGAAATGAGGACAAGAGGGTGTTGTAAGCAAGAGGAACAGCATGTGCAAAGGCTTAGTGACTAGAGAGTATAAAGGCCTTCAAAAGAAGTTAAAGAATCTGGAAGTTATCCTGAGGAGAAAGTTGTCCTGAAGCCACTGAAGAATTTCAAGCAAGAGGGTGATATCACCTGACATATGTTTTAGATCCGTCACTGTGACTCTGCTGTGTGCAGAGGCAAGACTGAAGGAGGAGAAACCAAATTAGGAAGCCATTGTGATGAGAGATGATGGCAGCCAGAACTTGGGTAGTAATAATGGGGAATATGGGTAGATAGAGTCGAGAGATGTTTAGAGTCAGAATGGACAAAACTGGTCTTTGGATTGAATGCGTTTGGGGAGTGAGGCACGAGAGAGTCTCAGGAGACTTCCAGGTTTCTGGGCCGTGCAGCTAGATGGACAGGAGCAAGGCTCCTGAGAGAGTGAACCTCAGTAAGGTGAACAGGTTGAAGGAAAAGGGCCACTCTTTCCTCCCTGCTTTCAACAAGCAGGCACCTCAGCGTCTGACATGTGATTTGTGAGTTTGGAGTGCTTGAGACGTCTCGCGGTTGTATGTATGATAGGCTTGGGTATGATAGGCTTGGGATTGGGGCACACCTGGGTTTGAATCTCGGCCCTGCTATTGAGAAGTATGATTTTGGACTCATCGCCGAAATCCTCAGGGCCTTGGTTTCTTCAGATGTAGGCGGTCCACCTCACAGGGCTGTTAGGAGGATTCAGTGAGAAAGGGCCCATCAATGCTCAGCCTGCAGTGCCACACTGTGGTTGGGCAAGAGCAGCCGGCTGGAGATCTACAAACACATCCACACACAGGTGGAGGGCAGCTGAAGCTGAGACCCCCCCTCACACCTGGGGAGGGGGGTAGAGGGTGAGGAAGGTGTGAGGAAGTGTGTGTGCAGAACTGGCCCTCAGCAGCAGCAGGCTGTTGGGTCCTTAAGAGAACTGCTCTGCCCTCAGTGTTTTGTCACATACAGTAAGGAGCTGGGACAGCGCCACATCACTCCCCTCCCTCCTTCATTCAACCTTAGTTAATCGAATGTGACCACAATTAAGAGCTGAGGATACGAGATTGATAAAACACGATTTGTGTCCTGAGGAGCTCCCTGCAGGACTGAGTGGAGGGGGAAAGTATCAGGGGGAGGGGCAGGCATGAGCGGAGAGAAGCTCTGGAGGATCATGGGGGGACAGGATCCAGAGTGAGGAGGAGGGGGAGGTACCTCTTCCTCTGAGTGGGAAGGAAAGGAGAAACTTAGAAGAGGAGCAAGGAAGCAAATAGGCTGCTGAGTGAAGAGATGAGGAGAATGGGGATTAGGAGCTGGGGTCACGTGTATTTGGGGTCTTCTCTGACACACCCCCACTAGGTGCTGAAATGCCCCGGGTCAGGTCTAGAGTTGTTTAGAAGAGGAGCAAGGAAGCAAATAGGCTGCTGAGTGAAGAGATGAGGAGAATGGGGATTATGAGCTGGGGTCACGTGTATTTGGGGTCTTCTCTGACACACCCCCACTAGGTGCTGAAATGCCCCGGGTCAGGTCTAGAGTTGTGGGATTGAGTGGAATGCTTCTTTACCCTGCTTTGTCCACTCACTCACTCATTCACACCTATATTAGACCTCTCAGGGTCAGGGGGCTCAGTCTGCTGGGGGAGGCTGTGGATTCGTATCACAGATACGGGTAGTAAATGCAGTCAGAGAATGCCCCGGGGCAGTATGGGAGCTGGGGGGTGCTGATCCAAGAGGGGAAGGGAGGGGTCCCAGGAAGTTTCCTGTCGGCCAGGAAGATGAGGAGGGTGGAGAGGCAAGGGTGGTTCTGGGCAGAGGCTCAAACTGCAGCATGGGTGCCCAGGAGACCAGAGGCTGTGAAGAGGGGTCGGAGGCAGGGAGGAGAGTGGGAGTGGGCATGCTGCCCCTCACACAGGTGAGGAGGCTGGCAAGAGACTTTAGCATGGAGCAGGAGGGAGCCACAGAAGGGCCCTCAACTGGAGAGGCACACAATCCTTAACATGACCCCTGCCAAACTGCAGCATGAAGGGCGGCTGGAGGGAGCTGGCCAGGGCCAGAGTAAGTGAAGAGGCTGGTGCGGGAGGTCAGGAGGGTGGCCCTGAGCAAGGTCAAGTCTGGGGGTGCAGATGGAGCAAGCCCAGTCTGACCCAGAAACTGGCTGGAGTGAAGTTTACTGCGTTTGCATGTGGTTCTGCCTGCCTGCTGGCTGAGGAACGTTTCTTTGAGTCAGCGCTCACTGAAGGTCCTAATTTGAAGAACATTCTTGAGGTCAGACCAAACTGTAACTGGCCTCCCAGTGGTCCTAGGGCAGTCTTCCAGAACATAGTGTCCAATGCCCTCTACCATTCAACAACCCTCCAGCTACCTGCGGACTGATCCCACATCCCTAAGCCACCCCTCCCTGGTTCTTTCAAGCACTCTGCCAACATCCCTGACCTAACCTCTGCCCCAGGCCGCCCCCTCAGCCTGGGTCCGTCCTCCAGGGACAGCCATCTGCCTTCTGCCTCCCCAGTGCCTTATTTAGTGTCAATGGGCCAGAAGGTGGCCAGCCATTGAAAGCATACCCACAATGACCAGCCAAGCCTCTGCGACAGGCCTCACTTTATTTGGAATTTTCCACCTAAGCAGCTCCCAGCTGAGCCACATTACATGTGCAAAAGTCCCCCAGAAAGCTGGGCCTCGCAGTGTGTAAAAAAGGCCCCCCATGGGGCAGAGCTGTGCAACCATAAAAAAAAAAAAAGAGAAATCAGTCCCCCAGGAAGCCTGGCTGGGGTGAAGTAGGCAATGCTGAGGGCCAGTCCACGTGTGGCTTGCTTCAGGGTCTGTTTTCTTCTCTGATTGTGCTTTCTTTTCCAAGTCCTTAACACGCTGGGGTTGTGGCCACCAGAGCGGCCAGACGCAGTCCTCAGGGGCAGGGAGGCCTGGCTGGGAGTGCGGCTTGAGGGTGACTTCTCACACACACAGACACCCCCAACACTGGCCTCAGCTGTGCCAGGAAACTCAGGGCTTCACTGGCCCCCAATCCCTGTCCAGCCTCTCAGGTCACAGCCTCTGCCCTCATGTCATGTTTGAGGGAGGGACACTGTCCTGAGACAGACGAGGCCCTCCAACCTCCAGGGCACAGTGGGTGTGAGGCTGTGCATTCACTTCACACCCAGGGCAGGTGCTTGTAGTGTCTGATTCTGCGCATGTGATCTGCGTGTGGCACGTGTGTGTGTGTGTGTGTGTGTGTGTGTGTGTGTGTGTGTGAGAGTGAGTGTGGTTTGGCTGGAGGTGGGGGCTGAGGCTGGGGGAGGCACTTGTGGGATTCAGGGCACATTGACTTTGAAGGGGCTTCCAGGGACACTTTCATCACCCCACTTGACGATCAGGATGTAGTCCCCTTTCTCTTTGACAGTGTAGGTGACATTGTATACCCGGTTCCCCATGTGTTTCACGTACACCTCCTCGCAGGGGGTCTTGGGCCCGTGCACGCCCACCATCATCATGTTGGTGCCTAGAGAGGGAGGCAGAGAGGGACAGGCTCACACCAGGGCCTCTGGAAGACCCCCTGCTTTCCGACCTCTCAGTTCTTGCTCCCACCTGCCATTTCTCAGCAGACAAGCCCACCCTGGGAGACTCTCCCTCTCCCCCTTCAAGCCTGCCTGCTTTGCTGCAATCCACGGTGAAGGAGTTCTTCTGGCCCACAAAGGCCTGGGACAGCCCAGGGCCCCGTGTCACCACCTTGCTGGCATCCGAGGAGAACTTGGGGATGGAACTGTAGCTGGAGCCCTGGCTTGAGGAAGACTTGGTCACAGTCTCCACTAGAACCGTGGATGTTTCATGAAGGCTGTGGCCTCCAGATAGCCGGGGACCTGAGGGGTAGAGTGGGAGCCATGACTTGGTCAAAGGGGCTTCCTGCCCTTCCCCAGGCAGTGGGCCCTTGGATGGCACTGACAACCTCAGAGACTTGGGGTCCCAGGCCCCTGGGCCTGCACTTTGGCTCCCCTCGTTCCTCAGCTGCAGCATTCTAGAAGCATAGCCCCAGTCCAAGTCAGTGCCCAAGCTTCTGGCTCTGATTCTTGCCTATCCCTAGAACCCAGGCTTCTGATGGCTCCAGCCCTCATCCTCCTGGGCTTTGTCAGGGAACTCAAGTGAACTCACAGTGTGAGAGTCTTGCTTTAAACAGGACACATATCCAATGCATCCTGCAAATAGCCTCCAAAAGGGAAGGCTGCTAATTACCCTATCTGCTTGCTTAGAAGGGAGAAATATGGGAAGCTGGGAGGAAAGAAAGTGAAGCTAAAGCTTGGGGAGCCACAGCAGGTAAAAGATTGAGCTAGTGATGGACAACAATAAAGAGGATAGGACCACTTAATTGCCTTACTGGAATGTCATCTGGCTTGTTTCACTGAAAGTTACCAGCCTATACTGTTTTTTTTTTTTTTTTAAAAGATGACCGGTTAGGGGATCTCAACCCTTGGCTTGGTGTTGTCAGCACCACGCTCAGCCAGTGAGCAAACTGGCCATCCCTATATAGGATCCGAACCCGTGGCCTTGGTGTTATCAGCACCGTACTCTACCAAGTGAGCCATGGGCTGGCCTATACTGTCAAACTATAATCCCACCTTTGTCTCTTCCTGTAACTTTCAGGTCTGGAAAATAAATGCAGGAAGAGAACCCCAATTCGGCGTTAATTTCCCAAGGAAGGGATGTCTGTCATTTGAGTGTCCCAAAGGGAGATTAACCACTTCGGGGCCTCTCACTGCTCAGAAGAGATGGGCTTTGAGTAATCCTTTCATCTCTGTCACCCAGGGGAAGTGGGGTGACAAATCTGTGGGGGGCAAAGCAATGCAAAACAACAGATAAGACAAGTTGCCAAAGGCCCTGGAGTGAATTAATACTAATCCTGGATTCCAGAGCAACTGTGTCTAACCCCGAGGCCTGAGTTCTTTCCATGATATCACACTGCCTACCCCAATCCCACCTAGAGTGTCTTCTCATTTGTACATATTCAAGGTTCCAGGTTCCAGCCGATAATTTCTATATTGACCCAAAGAGACTGTACAGCTCCTTTGGCACAACAGTTAAAAGCTCAGAAAGCTCCTGAGCATTCCTTATCTGTCTGTGGATGCTACAGGGGCATCATACACTTATACTCTCTCTCCCAACTGCAATGCCACGTAAGCTGGGGCTATGTGTCCTCCACACTAACCCCCAAAACAAACACACACAACACACACACACACACACACACACGCACACACAATTATACCTGTGCCTTTCCAGGCACTCTGTACAGACATGTGCTACCATGGGAATGTGGGCACAGAATACGTAACTGGTTCTCCTCTTTCCTTTATAGATATTTTCAAAACAGTTTCTGTGGTGATCATTTTTAGCCTTCCTGTTTCCTTGACTACAGGTTGAGAATGAGGAAAAAGCCTCTGGGTACCTTTTAGTAGGTTTTTCTCCACTGGGCTTGGTGGCTGAATGACTATATCCCTAGTCCTGAATCAAAGTCTATTGGATTAATTATATTATTCTCTTTGCAACTGAATCTCAGAATATGATTGCATAAAAAACCTCTCTGCCCAAGAATTTAGGGTCATATCCCCCTCTTTACTGCATCGAGCTCAAGCTCCTCTTCTGCTTTCAAGAGCTACTGTCACCCCAGCCCTCTCTCCCCAAACCTTCCTCTGCCACCTCTGTTCCAGACCCATGTGATATGTCTAACCTCTATGCCTTTGTTCATGCTGATTTTAATGTGAGGTTCTAATCTATTTCCTAACTGACCTCCTAAGTGATTTTGAGCAAGTTGTTATGATGAAAGTCTAGGTCTGTTTCTTCACTCACCATAAGGAGGCTCTACTGATCATAAGAGCTACCACTTTGAGGCTTACTTTGTTACTATTTTATTCATGTTTTTTTCAAATCTTCCTAACACCCATTAAAGGGAACATTATTCTTCCCATTTTCCAGATAAGGAAACTGAGACTAAGAGGACTAAATAAATTGCCCAAAGGTGCATAGCTAGTGAAGAGCAAAGAAAGGATTAGAACTGGTCTTTGCTTAATTTCAAACTCCATCCTTTCAACTACTTGCTATATTGTTTTTCAAAGACCTTTCCCACCCGGAAGACTATGACTTATGAAAGCTACCCAATTTTCTGCTTCCTCCAGCTTATACACCACATATCCCTTGGAGGCTTTGAATGACTTTTCCATAATCTGCCCACCTCGGAACTTCATCTCATTTAACAGTTGGTTGTAAACCATCAGACATTGTTTCATCATTTTTCAGTGGGTGTTCTTTTTGTCTCCCTTCTAGATGAAACTGAGGCAGAGATAGAATAGAGACATGCCCCAGGGAGGCTGCTCACCAATATTCAGGCCGGATGGGCCAGCGCCTGCACGCTAGGCGGACAGCAGGGGCAGAAGATGGGCCATTAGGAGTTTCCACGTGGGACAGGGAAGGAGAAGGTCAGGGGCATGTGGGTCTTTCTCTGGCAGAGATGAATGAGCACTTCGGCGTGTACCTTCGCTTGGTTTTAAAGCCCTGTCATGTTCCCTTTCTCTCTCTCTCTTTTCCTTTCCTTTTGCTGGTCCCATAAAAGATTCTTCTTTCATGGACCAAGAACCTGGGTATGCTGCCCAGTAACAAAATCTTGAGAAAAGAAGCCAAGAAGACTTTCTCTGGTTGGTCCTGGGCCACAGAAGGCAGGAAGAGAACAGAGGTAGCTGTCATTTATTTTTAGCGTCTGCTTTGTAACAACAATTTATTTAATGCCTGTTCTATATCCTAGGTGATTTTCATCTCATCTCATTTACTCCTCAAAACATGTTCACAGTAAGCTCTAGCAGTTTCATTTTATAAGGAGGAAACTGAGTCCTAGAGTGGTTAAGTAGCTCACTCCATAATAAGTGGCTGAACAGAACCTAATTAAGTCTGTCTGATGGCAAAGTACAAATTTTCTGCTATAAAAATCTGAACCAATGAAAGACAAACATCAGAATTCCCTTTCTCTTTTACTGATTCCTCTCCACACCAGTACCATTTGCATACTCAGTTCAACACAACATTCTTTTTAATTGAAACAATTGATTATACATATGTGTGGAGTACAGAGTTGAATCTCAATACCTGTGTAAAGTAGGTGATCAATTCAACACAACATTCTAAATTGCTACATTGTTTTCAGTGTTCAAAGAGCTCTATGAGTAAATATTCAGTGGAAATTGGGAACAGTAAAACTAAGACAGTATGATAGATGTTTACTTATAAAAATCATTGATAATACAGCCATTATAGAATATGCCCTGGAAAGCAATATTAATAATGAAGAAGTGATTATAAAACATTGCAACTAGTCAGAAGACTCCATTTTTGCTTAGTGCCTGGTGGTCCCAGCAAGGCTTTCCAAGCTTTTCTTTCTTTCTTTATTTTTGTCCTTTTTGAGACCGGCCACACCGTGCTCAGCCAGTGAGCGCACTGGTCATCCCTATATAGGATCTGAACCCGGCCACGGGAGCCCTGCTGCGCTCCCAGTGCCGCACCGCCACGGGCTCGGCCCCAAGCTTTTCTTTAATTACTTCATTGCCCAAGCTTCAGTAGTCTCACCCTTCCTGCCTCTACGCCCTTTTGTTTATCTATTTTTCCACTTGAAATGTCCCCTCCCCTACCTCTACTCATTCAAATCTTACCTATATCCAAATGCAGAGTGAGAATTCACTCACATACCCCCTGCTCACACCAGGGATGGCTATTCGTGAGGGATCTGCTCCCATGACCCGAACACCTCTCAACACTGCCACGTTGGGGATCAGACTTCAACATGAGCTTTGGGGGAACAAAGATTGGGGAAACAAATATATCCAAACTATATCACTATTATTACTTTGATTTTTCAGATGCAGAATGTAAGCTGGGAAGAAGTTGGGTGACTTGCTCATAGCCCAGAAGAGGCAAAGCCGGCACATGTTCTGATTCCCAAATTCCAGCTCTTAGCTGCTCTGAAGCGCTCTGTCCCGGTTATCCCTGCACCCCAGGCAGCGCCTAATCAAGTGGCTTACGGTTGTTGTTTGATTAACGTCTGTGGCTACATGAATAAATGAGTGAACACACAGTAATATGCTAAGATGGGAAATGTCATGAAAGTTCACAAAAAATCCTGTTGTCCGAAATATTTTTTTCCTCATACAAACAGCCCTTTTACTTGTATGCGTCTGAACTTAGGGTGTTGGTGGCTAGAACACAGAAAGAGATTCATTCACTGGATGAAAAGCACGCTTAGAGAATACTAAGAAATTCTTCATAATGTCTACATTTTTAGATCAAGAGCCTCAAGTGCTTCAGGACATCAGACAAATTCAGGACTTTTCTGAGTAGCTGACTCGTTAAGGAAAGCTGCCGAAACCCACGGGCACCTTCTGAGGGAGGACAGTGGCAGTACCGATGGGTGCCCATTTCGCTAGAAACCTCTGTCCATTCACGGGGCCTGGCTGGGGAACCTCGGCAGCGCGACAAAGGCCAGATTGTTCTCTCCAGAACAACATGATAATGTACTGAAAGAGTGGGTGCCCTGTGTACCGAGAAAAAAGGCAGTAAATGAGTTCCTGGCACCACCACAACAGGTCAGCCTTCACAAAGTGGGGACACAACTTGCTGCCAAAAGAACTGGCCTCAGCAAACTTGCTCTATGAGCGAAAACTCTATCAGATTTAAGCTAAAAACAGCTAAATTTCCAAAATATGCAGCCAGTGCACCATGAGAAAAAGAAGCCTGTCCCTTGCCGGAGAGGACAGACAAGTAATGAACAGTCTCAAACTCTTAATGAAAGCAAGGTCCAGGCCTTCCTTTCTGATTTGCTCCGAATTGGCATGAGCTTCAAGCCTCCACCCTGTTTCCAACTCAGGTATCTATTTCCATTCTCCCAAAGGAAGGCTTAAACTTTCCTTACTATGAACATCTTTTTTTCTGGAATAAAACAAAGGTCGAAAGTACTTAACTTCGGGGAGAGAAATGGGGAT